TAGTTTCAAGCTGCCTGGCTGCCGGCTGCCATCTTGGCTGGCAGTTAATTTGCATATTGCCCTGATTAGCCAATGGGAAGGGTAGCGGTCGTACGCTAATTACCATGTTTCTCTTTTATTAGATAGGATATGGTTGAAATCATATGGTTCTTAGCTTTTTCTGATTGACTTATTTCACTTAGCATAATATTCTCTCGGTTCATCCATGTTGTTCCGAATGGCAGTATTTCATCCTTCTTATGGCTGAATAGTATTTCATTGTATATATGTACAACATCTTCTTTATCTAGTCCTCTATCGCAGGGAACTTTTGTTGTTTCCATGTCTTGGCCACCGTGAGTAATGCTACAGTGAACATGGGGTGCATATATCTTTTTGAATACATGTTTTCGAGTTTTTCAGGTATATATTCATGAGAGGGATTGCTGGGTCGTATGGTAGCTCTATTCTTCTTTTCTTTTTCCTTTTTTAAAAAAATACATTTTTATTGATTTCAGAGAGGAAGGGAGAGGGAGAAAGAGAAACATCAATGATGAGTGAGAATCACTGACTGGCTGCCTCCTGCACACCCCCCACTGGGGATCAAGCCTGCAACCCAGGCATGTGCCCTGTGCTGGGATCAAACCTGGGACCCTTCAGTCTACAGGCCAATGATCTATCCATTGAGCCAAACCAGCTGGGGCTCTATTCTTAATTTTTTTGAGGAATGGCCAGACTCTTTTCCATAGTAGTTGTATCAGCAGTGAATGAGGGTTCCCTTTTCTCCACAACCTCTCCAACACATTACTTGCCTTGTTGATAATGGCCACACTAACAGGTGTGAGGTGGTATCTTCACCTCTCTGAAATCAATAAAAATATATTTTAAAAATGTTTTTAAAAGTGTTGCTCTATATGTGGACTGCTGTTTGAGGTTGTCACTTTGCTCAGATGTCCTACTTGGTGCTGGTCCTGGGTATAGACACTTTGGACCTGAGATGCCTAATGAGTTCATTTGATTTAAAGAAGATGAATTTGTGGCTCCACTGCTCCCTTTTCTTCCCTAGATGGAAAGCTTCTCGACTTTGATGGTATTTATAAACTCTAATGTAATAGATGTTCTTTTCTAAGAGTGTTAATTTTGCCTCTAAATTTTATTTTTAAAATATGGATTATGGCTCTCTAAGGACTAGTTTTCATTTGCCAACTGTTTTCTATGATTCTGTATGCATTTATTTTCTTTAAAATATCTTTGAAAGAGAAAACACGAGATATTTTAAAGTTCAATGCTATTCATTTTTCTGATTTTGTTTTGATTTCAGGAGAAACTGGCTCTTCGCCAGCAGCTGAATGAAGCGAAGCAGCAACTCCTGCAGCAGGCAGAGTATTGCACAGAGATGGGGGCAGCAGCCTGCACTCTGCTCTGGGGCGTCTCCAGCAGTGAGGAGGTCGTCAAAGCCATTCTGGGAGGAGTAAGCATGGCTACTGGACCTTGTTGATTAATGCTTATGGGCTGGGAGGGTGCAGCATGGCTTACATCCATTTCTTTCATCAAATAATTTTGGAATTGTGGTGCGGGGTCCTCTGTAACCTGGTGCTGTGGGGGTATGTGAAATTAATGTAGTAAGTTTGTTTAGGGACAGTGAGTAGGTTAGTTGACACAGAGTGGAGGACTGTGTGGTAAAGTTGTGGGGAGAGAAGGCTTATAAGGTTGGGTGGAGTGTAATTTTGGAAGACCGTCAATGCAGGTTGATGATGCAGTCCAGGTGGGAGGACTGGATTCCTAAGCGTTGACTAAAAGAAGATGGGATAAGGCGAGAGTTTGGGGAAGGTTAACCTGACAGAGAGTGAGTGTGGATTTGAGGGGGCAGGTTGGGGTCTACAGACTGGACAGGAAGATGAATTAGAGTCCCAGTGGCTCAGGCTGGAGTGAGCTGGCTCTCTATAGGGGAGATGGAAGGGAAGGAGAGCCTGTGACTAGGCCAGTGTGGTGACAGCATGGACTCCACAGCTGACAGAATGAAAGGAACCAAGGAAGACTGAGTGACTCTGGGAAATGGAATGTCATGAATGGAAATAAAAGTCACAAGGGGATGTTTGGTGGAAGGCCGGTAATAAACTACTCATCATTCTAAAAATCAAAATTGTATTTGCCTTTCAGGGGAAAGACTTTATTTTTTAAAGTTTATTGAGCTTTATTGAGATGTAATTTATATACCATAAAGTTCACCCGTCTGTAAGTGTACAACTCAGTGGTGTTTAGCTGACTTCCATAGTAGCACAACATCACCACAACCCAGTCTTAGAGCATTTGTGTCACCCCTGAAGCTCCCTTGTGCCCTGGTTTTCAAACAGGTCCTCAGAGAAGTGCTGCAAAGGCTCTGTAAACTCGGAAATATCGTTATTTTTCTTTTTAAATCTTTATTGTTGAAAGTATTACATAGGTCCCCCCCCCCAATTAACCTCTTCCAGCCTGCTTCTTTATCTATCCTACATGTTGAGATTTCAGTTAAGACTTTATTTGAAAAGCAGTTTGCCAAAGGTTTGAAAACCCGTACATGCCTTTCTAGTATATTGTTGGGTGAATTGATCCCGGTGCTCCATCATTGTGTAAATTTTGAGCTGTTTCTCCTTGGGTTTGTCTTTAGGTAATTTTTCTAATACTTATATTTGTATCTAGTAAAGTAAAACCTTTTCCTTTCATCTTTTCAATAGAAACTTTTAATGAGGAATAGATTTTAAAATATTGCCTCTGTAAGTGCCACCAGGGTCTTTTCTTATGTATCCTGCACTTTTAACATGTTTCACACTGGTATTTGTGAAGGGGCGTGATGCTCTCATTTCCAAACTTGCAGGATAAAGCTTTGAAGTTTTTCAACATCACTGGTCAGACAATGGAGAGTTTTGTGAAGTCACTGGATGGGGATGTCAAGGAGCTCGATTCTGATGAAAATCAGTTTGTTTTTGCTCTGGCTGGAATTGTGACAAGTAAGTAATTCTTTTAAGCATAGTGGCAGTTTTAAGTGTGTCCTAGAGCAGCGATTACAGTCAGGTGTCTGAGCATAAACCTCTCTCGGGAACTTTTTCAAATGCCATGTGGTTCTCACCCTGGAGACTCTGGTTCTGTGGATCTGGGATAGGTACCAGGTTGTGTGATTGTTGCATATCATGCAGGTCATTCTGGTAAGTACGATATTGTTGAGTAAGCATGACTGGTCTTAGGAAGCATGGGCGAGCTTGCATGTTCAGTCTGTGCCTTTACTGAAGTCAGAACAAAACTATGTTGAGCTGCTTATTATTTGGAGTCATTGCCACTTTATTAATGTCTAGTCAAGTAAAAGCCTAAACTATTGCGGTTGTTGTGGTACAATAATTAAGGAATTCCAAAACCTAAACTGTCTCTTTAGTAAATTTCTCCCCAAAATTATACAGTTATGATAGAATTCTGTGGCAAAACTGCTGTACAGATAAAGCCAATCAATCACTGATCTCTTAGTATATAGGAGGAGTAGTATGTACTAGTGAGGACCAAGGCTTTTTGTTCCAAAGTCAGTGAAATAGTTAAATAGATGCTACGATTTATTTTTTTTATGTTGCTCTTTCATCTCTGCTGTGTATCTTAGGGTAATTCTTTGCCATTAAAGAGAGAGAGGACATTTTACTTTTCCTCGTGGCAATATCCTTCACCTACGAAATACTAATGAGGCAGGTCCTGTGTCGTCATCGTCCCTTCATAATTCCTTATGATCCTTCTTCTGGGGAGATGTTGAGACTTGTGGTCTCCAGGCCAGTCCTGGTTTATCCAGCATCTACTCTGCAGGACAGCGGGCATCATGCACTCTCATCCTCGCACCTTCTGCTGGAGGAGGCTTGCATTGCTATACCTTTTCAAATTCTTTTAAGTTTTTTTGTTTCTGTTTTTGTTTTTTTTTAACAGAAGGCATTTGTAAATTTGATGACTAGAGTTTTTGCTATTTGCAAGTGACGCCAAAGGTCTATGACATATATGATTTGTCATTCTGCTGAGTTGTGAATTTGAGCGGCTTGAACTGCAGCTGGTGTGTAGTGGTGAGACAGTTGGCCAGTGGGCAGAGCCAGCCTGTTGCCCAGCATACGAGTTCTATTTGGCTTTGTTTCTCCCTGCTTGGAGTGACTCACAGGAGCTGTCATAAAGAGTTGGAAAGTGGACACATATGTTTTTTTGCTTCCCCACTGATGAATTTTACTGGAGTATTACATACTATGGTGGTTTTATTAAAGTGCTGTTTCGGTGGCTTATGCATCTCCAACACTGAGAACACTGTTCTTGGGGAGTAGGCAGTACAGCAGAGACCTTGGTTAGCTGTCACACAGATCCTCTGCCTTCTAAAACAAGGATTATTTTTAAAAATTTACATGCAATAAACTTACCTTTACACTTTTCCCCTCACCTTTTTGCAGTTCCTAAGTTTTGACAAATGTATATAGTCATGTGACCACCACAGTTGAGATGTGGAATAGCTCTATAACTTCCAACATATCTCCTCAATATCTCCCCACCTTTTCCTTTTGTAGTCAACCACTCTGTCTACATCAGCCACGGGCAACTGCTGATCTGGCACTTTGTTAAAACTTTTAGCTGGATTTTTCTTGCTGGTTTGTCTGGTGTCCAGCATCTGCCCCAGGTAAGCAAGTGTCTGCCTCATATCTCTTCATGAGCCCCTGCCTTTTCCTATTTCTCATGTTAGTTGGTTGATCTCTGACCTTAGCTCCGATGTGTTCAAGAAAAGTTGTGATTTTGCAAATGACCGCCCCTGGCTTTTAAAGAATCAAGGTGTAGCTCTTTCCAATTTAATGTATCCTAAAGCAAAAACTGGAAGTCAAGGATTTATTGAAGTTGTTAGATTTCTTACTCATCCACAGTCACTGTCCTTAGTAATAGGTTAGTATAGTGAAGGGTCTGGATTTTCAGGCACAGCTAGTCCACTTCCCAGGTTATCAATTCTCTGGTTTTCTGTTCCTCATCTGACGTGCAATAGTAGTACCTGCTCTAATGAACTTACATGCTGTTGTAAATATTTACTGAACTATGGAGGTGATAGCACATTGTAAACCAAGCTGCTCTTTAACATAAGCATGTGATTCTTTTCAATAACTTGTGTAAGGGGACAAATGAAGAATGTAAAAGAAATGGTAAATTGTCAGAGACCTGCAAAGATTAACTTGCTTACCATGGAGGTGGAAAAGTTATATTAAAAAAAATTTTTTTAAATATATTTCAGAGAGAGGAAGGGAGAGGCAGAGGGAGAGAGAGATAGAAACATCAAGGATGAGAAAGAATTTTTGATTGACTGCCTCATGCAAGCACCCTATTGGGGATTGAGCTCGCAACGTAGGCATGTGCCCTGACCAGGAATTGAACTGTGACCTCCTTGTTCATGGGTTGACACTCAACCACTGAGTCACACCAGCTGGCAGAAAACTTATTTTTCTAATTGTTTCTTTTGCTTTTTGTTTACTTGCAAGTTATAATTACACTCCTTGCCTTTTTATTTCGGGTTTATTCATTCAAACAATATTAGATAGTGATTTCAGAATACAAATTACTTTTTGACTGTTGATAATTTATGGGCATGACTAAGATCCAGCTTATCTTTCATGGGTATAATTGTTCCACAAAGTCAATAGAGTACCCTCATGTCAATGATCATCATTCCTGTGAGGAACATTTGCAACTACAGTGGAAGCGCTGCTGTGCAAGAGACACCCCTGTGGAGCAAGACTTGCTTCAGTGGGGCTTTGGTGCTCACCGAGTCTGCCCCTTGAGTGTGTTGCTCATGGATGTGTAGAGCTGTAATCTGGTATGGTCTGACGCTGTCCACTGTGTGCATTGGCTCTGGGGCTTCCTGGAAAGTGCAAAGTCAGCCACTGTCTGGGCCACCCACAGCAGCTACAGAGTGATCTTCAGATTGCTGCTACTTGTATTAGGCTTGGAAGTGCTCAGGCAAGGCCCAGTTGTGAAGCAAGGTGGGCTGGTGCAGGTGCTGGGTCTTGGGCTTCTTATTGATATGTTTGTGCCACACTGATGCCAGTTGCTGCTTGTTTGAGAGATTTTATAAAGGTCTGAAGCCTGAGCTGGAACAGGCCCTGCATATGGAAAAGCCCCTGCGAACAGCTTGGGTTGGGCTGCAAATTGATGGGGCAGGGTGGAGTAAACAGTGTGGGCCACATTGATGGAATCTCAGTTTTGCAATGGGGAAGGTCCCAGCACAGGAACAGTGACCCATGTGAGCACCCCCATCTTGGAGAAAGTCGGCCCAAGTTCCTGCCCCAATGCCAGACAATCCACTTCCTCCCTGTATGTCCCTGAATCCCCCAAAGCTGCCACCCAGTGCTGGAGCTCAGAGGAAGCAGGACTGTGTAAGTTCTTGTGCTGGCCCTTTAAGAGGAACTGCCTGGGACTGTAGCAATCTCCCTGTTACTCAGCCACAATCCCCTCTGGTTTTTACAGCCAACATTATGTGGAATTCTCTTCCCAGTTCTGAGCTGGTGGGGTCTGGTGTGGGGCTGGGACCCCTTGCTCCTCACAGGAGGCCTCTACAGCCAGATATCCCTTCAGATTGAAAAAAACACACCACACCAGCCCGTTCTGTGCCTTCACCCCCCCTACTAGTCTCAATGTACTTTCTTCTTTACTTCTCTAGTTGTAGGACTTCTATTCAGCCAGATTTCAGGCAGTTCTGAATGATGATTGTTCTGTATTCTAGTTGGAATTTTGATGTGTTTGTTGGAGGCAGTGAGTACCAGCATTTATCTACGCCACTAACTTGGTTCTCCATTGCCCCATCTTCTGTTTGGACCCTGACTGCCCACAGCTGTCAATCAGGGTTCTGGAGCATGGCAGCCACTTGCTGTCCTGTGGTTGGCTGCAGTCATATTTAGATTCCAGTGCTCTGTTCCACTATCAAGGTGTTTGCTATTCACAAAGCGCATTACTCACTGAGTAACTGTTGTGGTTGTCAGTTCTTTCTGGGTTGTCACTCTGTGGGCAACACCATTTTTTTATGCCTCACTGGCTATTTTGTTAGGAGAAAGACAGCAAGGAATACTCTGTCATTGAGAAACTTTTCTAGAGTCTGAAGTTACAGAGATTTTGAACTTGGTTTTGTCTTTCTGTTGCAGATGTTGCTGCCATAGCGTGTGGTCGTGAATTCCTGGTTAACTTCAGCCGGGTGCTCTTGGACACCATACTGCAACTTCTGGGAGACTTGAAGCCAGGACAGTGCACCAAACTCAAAGTGTACGGTGGACAGTATTAAAGAGTTAATGTTTGTTTACAAATTAGTCAGAATTAGCTGTTTGGCCCTCCTTTTCATATAAACACAATTTGACAGTGGTTCTAGAAAAAATAGAAGGTACAAATGCCTGGAGAATTCAGGGATGCAGTCTATTCAGTACTATTTTAGAAAAATAATATAAACAAAAGTAATGTTCTCACTTTAGAGCAATCAGTGAGTCCCGAATGCAATCATGTGATACTTGAGGGTTATATTAATGACCTCAAAATGAACTTAAATAAGTGTTTGTTATGGCAGCATCTCACTTCCAACTACCAAAATCAGTCTTTATTTACTACTGTTGTGTAACAAAATACCACCAACTTAGGGGCTAAAACAGTATCTCCTTCACAGTTCTGTAAATCAGAAGTCTGAGTGGGCTTGACTGGTTCTCCAGCTAGGGCCTCACAGGGCCAAAGTAAAGGCATTGTCTGGTCCGGGCTTTTTTCTAGAGGCTCAGGGAAAGATGCTTCCAGGTGCATTCAGATTGCTGGTGGAATCCAGTTCCTTGCCTTTGTAGAACTAAGGTCCTTGGGGGTCACTTTCAGCTTCTAGGGGTGGCAGATTTCCTTATCACATGACCCCACCTTACCTTCAAGTTGCAGTAGCTCACTGAATCCCTCTTAGATTTTGATGGGTTTAGATTAGGCATAACTGGGTAGACTCCCTTTGATTAATTCAGAGTCTGCTGGTTAGTAATTTAATTATATCTGCAGAGTCTCTCTGCCCTGTAACTTACCAAGGTGTGATATTCTGTGCATAGTCCCTGCAATTAGGGCAGGAAATTGTGGACTGCTGTTCACACCATTCATTTCTAGTGTTGCTTTTCTTCTTGGAGCATTTTTTATAATAGCTTCTTTAAAGTCTTTGTCAATGATTTCCAACATCTGTGTCATCTTAGCCTTGATGTCTCTATCTTTTTTTTTAAATTTAAGTTATTTATTGTTTAAAGTATTACATATGTTTCCCTTTTCCCTCATTGACCTCTCCCCAGCCATTCCCACCCCCTAGCACATGCCCTCACCCCCTTCCCTACTGTCTGTGTCCATGGGTTATGCTTATATGCGTGTATACAAGTCTTTTGGTTGATCTCTCACCCCCTGCCTTCCCTCTGATGTTGGACGGTCTGTTCGATAATTCTGGATCTATTTTTGTTCATCAGTTTATGTTGTTCATTCTATTCCACAAATGAGTGAGATCATATGATATTTATCTT